TAGTACATAACAACGTATCAGGCAGGATTGCATTGTTGCTGAGAAGCTGAGGGGACTCGCACAGAGAACAGAAACCCCTCCTGTAGGATGTGCGAGTTCCCTCAGCTCCTCAGAAATACAAACCTTGCACATTGGAACCGTTTCATGCTGTGGATATCTCAAATTTTGTTGTCAACTCATTTAGAATCGAGAGAATCAACCTCAGCAGACTGATTAATAGTGTTTTATCGAACACTCAATTACAGGGTTTTTTTTTGTAAGCTGGCCAGACATGGTGGAAAAGGGGACGTGGGTTACGAGGGATCTGTCCAGTAGAATTCTCTTGAGTGCTGAGAGCGCAGGGACGATTACTCGTGGCATCGTTTCGCATTGAAAGGAGGGAGAGTCTGATGGAACAAGGAAAAGGAATAGAGAACATGAAAAAAAGTGCGAGGGAGAAGAAGGGAAATCTTCGTGGATGGCAGATGACCCGAGACGCAATACTCCATCGTGTATGGAAACTTCAATGGCACTTCAAGAGAACTTTTTTGCCCTTACTCGTTTTCACCTATTGATTGCAACCAGGTTCAAGATTTCTTGGGTCAAGGAACTGTTTGTGCAGGATGATGAGCTTCATCCAGCCTCACCCCTATTCATTAGCCATGCCTTTTGATAAATCTGGACAGCCTGGGCGAAAAGTAGCTTTGACTGGGGCGGGCAGATACTGACAACTCTATTGGTGAAAGGTCTGAGTTGGATGGGCCAAACGTCCGCCTTATCGAAGCCTTTCCACAATGACGTAAGCAGTAACTGCCCGCCTCCCACCCACCGTGTCCACCTCACATAAACAGAAATCTCTTACACCTGCATGTTTATTCAAGAGGCTTAAGGTTTATTCTTATCTTCTACAATGCCGACAGCAATTTTAACTAGTATCTTTTCAACTCCTAGTGTCCTCCTGTACGAGCCAACGCGTCGTTAAGTACGTTCTCACGTTCTGCTGCTTGTTCTCTGAGGAGATTTCTTGCCTGAAAATCAGGAACTCGCCAAAGCGTCAAAAATTGTTGGGAGAATCTTTCAGATAAGCGCATTCCAAGACCCACCTTTCTCTTCTGATTCCATCTAAAAGCGAGGTAGATTCCTACATAACTAGCAAGTGCAGCCCGACATATATTCGCTCGTCCAAAATGTTCATGCGGATTCATGTATAACCGCTTGGTAGTGACGATCTGGTTCCAGAATCCTCGAACGGCCTCCATGTCTGCACTGAGGTAGGACATAGATTGGCGTTCATACTTTGCGTCAGCGTTTCGAGCGGGAAAGCATAGGTATCGATCAAGCGATTCGAGCGTACACCAGCTATTTGCTATTGCCCGCAAAAGCTCAAAACTATGGCGTACGCTCGAAAGGCTGAACGAAACGATATCATACTCTCCTAATCGCTCAAAACACCGCTGTGTTTGCGCTCAAAACGCTACCCAAGTATGAACGCCAGCCGAGCAATGAAATTCCATGAAAGAACCTACATTGACAAAAAGAAACTTGGACAAATACCCTACATATTCTACTATAGTCGCCGAGCTAAATGTTTTATAAGACATCGAAGAAAATAGGTATACGATCCAGTCACATGAACCAAAACACTGGTTACTAAAAGACAACTATTAAGCCCATGACCCTTTTCAAATTACATCGCAGTAAACGCTACACATAAAACCGGCTTCTATAAGATATAAAAGGTGAGTGTTGCGCCTTTCAAAGGCCAATCTCAACGATACCCAAAAGACAAAAACAACCAAGCAACAAACTGAATCGATAAATACTCCGCATACTTACATAGAACTACAATACTATGATTGAATATTAGAGTGAGGAAGTACTATGAACTTGGGCTTAATTAGAACGTGAAAAATCTGAACATTGAGCACCCACTATTTGAGAACAACACCAGTCGCTCGACAGAAAGACTCGTTGTAACCACCCGACGGCCGCTAACTCAGCCAAGATTGAATATCAGGCATGTAACCACCACTTCTGTCATTATGTCATATATAATGAAAAGCTTATCTACACGAAAGCAATGCTTTAGCAAGTAACTTGGCAAGTGAATTATAGTGGGTATTCACAAAGAAAAAGCAACCATTCAGCAAACGTTTGCACATCTGAATCCTGCAACCCAGGTAACTGTTCCCGCCATACGGACAATGAAGAAGACCTTAAAAGAAACACTTTACTATTTTTTAATTTATAGGTGAGATGTATGTTTCCGCGAGATTATCTATGGACTGTTCGAACTCTGTCCCTTAAAGACACGCAATCACCTGATTTGTGGAACCGTTTTCTAGCGCTTCGCAATCTCACAAAGCGTTCACACTTTGCTTCGGCGGTTTGAGCGATTAGGAAAGTATATGGTTCCAGCGCTTCGCTTCGACACCAGCCCTATACTTATTTCCTAATCCGCTGAATGTTGAACGCTTTCTCAGAGTCTGCCCTACTTTCGCGCCTCCACATGACTGGCGCATCCTCATGAGCAAAAATAAATACCCGCACAAATGCCTCACCACTCGAGAAATGATCAGCTGCAGCATTACGCTGAAGAAACCTATCTACCGAAAAGGTGGCCGAAATTTGATGTGGCGTAGTAAGACCGCCACTTTCCACATCAAGGATGGCCATTCCCAGAACGAATATGGCTAAAGATTATTATCGCACAAACAGATGATAACAGAATGTTGTCCTTCGATTAGTAACGACTTTAAATAACGGCTCATAGATCTTCTTTGCTGTCGAACCGCATTTCGTCTTAGGCCGGGCACACTTTCTCGCTTTCTGAGCACTTGCCCTTTACAAGAGCCTTATTCTGAGCATCTTCAGGTTGTCCATCCTGTCTTCAATTGGTTAATCAATTAGCATCTAGGAACCTATTTAAGCCCCAATACCCGCTGTATTTATGTTGACTGCCTAACCGCCATCTTCTTTTTTGCTTTGAATGTCCTTCCTTATCTTCCCGTGCCGTTTTAGACAGGCGTAATCGATTGGGGTGAGTGATTGACCACAGATTATCTTCCCTGAGTACTTTCACTATGCTGCGCAATGGTCAAAGATTACTGCCATCTAGCAATTTTGCTATAAGGAAGTACGCTATTAAGACGCTATTATATCCGATCCTTTCGTCGCCTTATCGCACTGCACTCTTCTTGACTCTCTCTCTACCCAAGTTTGCCCGCCGATTCTCTCTACCTTCTACCAGCCTACCTTCCATGATAAGCTCTGCGTCCGCGACTCCCCTCTTATCCCTCAAAAATGCCATCTTTGATTCACCTATGTCTTTTGCCTTCTTGCTTTTAGTCAATTCTCCCGTCGTCTATAATAGCAATCGCTCTATGGTCTACAAAAGTTCGCGGCAAGATCATGAAAAAGGTTCAAGCCTTGCTGTTCTATGAAAGAAAGGAGCTTTCCCGAATAAGCTGCCTTTATACGTACAGCTCTCCCCAATCAAAATCCTACGAGTCCTCAGATATAAAAACAATTGATCTGGAAACGCTTACCAGCCATTTATGAAGTCAATTTCATCGGGTGGACCGGTTAACCACCGTACAATACTTTGTGCAATAGCCTTTCGTTTAGCACAAGCATACAAGAGGGTGATGAAAGCATCCCGACAAAACTGAAAATTCGTTATGAAGTATTGAATCGAACCGACAACTTTTTCAAATAAACCTACAGGGGAAAACTCACAGTATTTTTGTTAACAATGTTTTCCTTAACAGAATCAATGTTCACCGCTGACGACAAGGCCATCAGTTGCTCTCTGCTCAACTCCATTAGTCCAGCAAACATACTTGGAACTACCTCGCAGTTTATCTGCAAAAATGTACTGCTATTCGTGCTCCGATGTCATATTGTTGTTACTCAGATTGTTAACACGGACACGGGGTATAACGAGAAGATTGCGAAATTTTCATGCCATCTAGATGTCGTAATCATTCTGAGGAAAATAATTAAATGATTCTGGTATCATTCTCATCACAAAGCGGTCACTGGTTAGTTTCTAATTCTCTTGAATTTGATCAGGAACGTATGCTTTTGATACTAGGGTTAGAACGTCAATGGTGTCTATGGGTGAGAACATGGACTTATGGCCTGAAATCTCGTCAGCGTAAGAAAAGACTGAGAGTATTTGAGAGAACAGTGGTTTCGTATAACTTTTCTGAATACTTTGGTATACAACTTGTCTATACTTGCGTTAAAGCCATGCCTCGAAAATGGTGAGCTATGCGACTGGTATTCTAATCACACGATGATAAATAACATAAAAGTGAAGAAAAAACAAAAAATAGCCGCTCGAAATGCTCCATAAAGAACTCGTGCAGAACCACGTCTATAAATCTTCCATGCTTGGACTACGCGCGATCTTTTCATAAGAGCAAGGAACTGGATTTTAAGAGAAAACTTTCTACAATAGAAAGCATTGGCAAACTTTTGGAAAATGTTTGCAAGAAAATGCTCACTGAAGCGATACCAAAACCATGCCTTTTCATGGAAAAATCATAACGAAAACCAAAACGGCTCGAATTTATTACAGAAGCAATTAGACTGGAAGAAAAAAAAACTCACATCCTCTATACATTTCTTCGAGCACAAACCCATAACTGAAAACAACGACAAAACAATGCGAGCAACATCTCTGGCTGTTCCAACAGTAAGCGCTCGAGCAACTACGGAGCGTCCTTTTCCTATCTGAAAGACCACACCATATGAGAAAATCCCGATTTTTTGGAAGAAATTTTCGGCCTTTCATCCTAACCCTTATGAAAACTCCTCTGAGGAATTATGCAATCAGTGTCATTAGACCGAGACGATGATTTTATGTATTCACGGTAAGTTCTTGGGGAAAAGAACCTCCCTCAGTAAGATAAACATCACAATTGTTCGTGAAGATAAGATTTCCAATGCCACATGATCCGCAAAAGCCACCTCTTGCTTAACAC